AAAAATAAAATAATAATAAATGGAGTATGCATACGGAGTTCATTTTTTTATCAAGTTAATCATTTTTCCATATCATTAGTGCGAATTTCTTCACCCGTTTGTGTTGGTTTAAGCTTTAATCTTGAACCAGAACGAAATCGAGAATATATATTCCCATTATATCATTCTGAAACTTAAACTATCAAAACGCAAAATCAATCCTTGCACGAAGCTAGGATCGAACACACGAACTTAATCTTTGCAGACGAACTGCAACAGTCAACTTCGCTGTTCTTTCCTATATTCTGCACAATGATTGAAGTTGTGCAATGACTCGATGTTATCCTTCAATGTATATTTTTTTATTGTGTTTTTGTGTTTGGTTTAAGACCCAAACCCCGTTTTTGTCCCTTCTTCACCATCACTTTGTGGAACTTGTGTATTTGGTACTAATTCTAATTCATTCTAAAAAAAATACTCTATTTATTGATTTTTTTCCTAGAATATATCTACCTCATCAGTTTTTCGTCGTGCTTTGTTATCAATATCTCGATGAAATTTATAAAGTTCCTTTTTAAATCGCTGTCTATATCACCGATCATTTTTCATTCTTAATAAAAATCTTTATTTTTTTGTTTTTGATTGCAAAATAATTAGTCTTACCGTTGAAAGAATACATTAATACATTCAATATTATCCAGGTTTTCATTTTGACTTAATTCGAGAATCCACTGGATTGTTTTTGTTGTACGACAAACAAGTTCCATGAGAGAAAATTCCTAAAAATATTTCTTCCTATTTTAAATGAATTATCAATAAGAAGAATATTTACTTCTTTTATATCTATAACAATACACCACGCATACATGCAATCGAATGCGATTTTACAAACTAATGCTAAATTGTTTTCAAGAAACAATTTTCGAGCATTATTATTTTGAAGCACAGCAAATGCTTTTATATTTTCTTTGTGCGTATTAAAAAATAATTCCTAGAAAAAACAATGTCAAATGGAAGATCATTAAAATTCTATTGCGTGCATTTAGATTATGACGAATTTGGATATATCGAAATATAAAAGTGTCGACTAGATACACTTTATTTTATATCAGACATTCGACTGAGTAGATCAGACAGCCACAATTAGATAACAAAAACTGTTATAAGTTTTGCATTCAC